AAACCCCTTCCCTCAATGCCTCTGGGCTGCCTCCTGGCACAGCTTAAACCCCTCAGATTGTTGGGACCAGACTTTAAGCCAAAAAGACTTGTTTTCTATTGTAATCAGGTTTGGCCTCAGTATAAATTAGATAATGGGTTTCAGTGGCCTGAAAATGGCACTTTTGATTTTAATATACTGTGCAATTTACACAACTTCTGTCAGCGCAATGGCAAATGGTCAGAAATCCCCTACATACAAGCCTTTTTCTACCTACGCTCTCGACCCTCCCTCTGTCAATCCTGTTCTCCTTCTCAAGTACTCCTAGCCCAAGCTTCACAATCCATCCTTCCCAATTCCATTCTTTCTGATTCTGACTCATTTGATCCAGCTGATCACTCACCACTAGCACTTCCCCCACCTTATAACCCCCAAATTCTTCTTCTGCCTTGTCCCATGCTTCTTCTCCTCTGCCATCTTGTACCTCTCCTTTGTCTCCTTCCTCTCCCTCACCATCTTGTGACCCTACTCCGCCATCTTGTGACCCTCCTTTACCTCCTCCTACCCCATCCCCACCACCTCACATCTCCCCACCCCGGACCTGTTCTCGCTATCCCACCCTTCCACCATCAGCCCTGGCCACACAGATGCCCCTCTGAAAGGTAGCCGGGACTGAGGGCATTGTTAGAGTACATGTTCCCTTCTCTTTCTCTGACCTTTCTCAAATTGAAAAATGCCTAGGCTCCTTTTTCTCTGATCCCGATGTTTATATCAAAGAATTTTGCTACCTTACTCAGTCTTATGATATGACCTGGTGAGATATTTATACAATTCTTTCAACTACTCTCTCCCCAGAGGAATGCCAGAGGGTCTAGAGGGCAGCCCAGGCAGTAGCAGATGATTTTCATGCCACAGATCCAACTAAACTAGTGGGCACCCAGGCAGTGCCAGATACTCAACCTGATTGGACTTACCGGGATGGAGACCCAGGCAGAGATCTCCAAGACTACATGACTTTTTGTCTCGGCGAAGGCTTAAAGAGAATTTCACAAAAGACAGTTAATTTTGATAAAATTAGGGAAATAACTCAGGGACCCCAAGAAAATCCAGCACAGTTTCTTTCTAGGTTGGCTGATGCTCTTCAAAAATATATCAAAATTGATCCCTCCTCTCAGGCAGGCATGATTGTTATTAACACCCATTTTATTTCACAGTCTGCCTCTGACATCAGGAGAAAACTAAAAAGGGTTGAGGAGGGCCCCCAGACCACACAAACTGAGCTCCTCAATGTTGCTTTTAAGGTGTTCAATCACCATGAGGAACAAGCAAAACAACAAAAAGTGGCCAATTACCAGATGCTGGCAGCAGCCCTACAGGGTAAACCACCATCCTGCAAAAGGATGTTTACTCATGATGGGCCTCCTGGGGCCTGTTTTAAGTGTAATCAGACTGGACACTGGGCTAGAGAATGTCCCAATCCCAAGCCACCGCCTGGCCCTTGTCCCGACTGCAAGCAGACGGGTCACTGGAGGGTTGACTGTCCCCTTCGCCAAAGAGGTAAGAGGCCATCCCCTCCTCAAACCCAGTCAGCAGGTGTGGAGATGTCTCTGTCAGAGCTCATTGGCCTGGTGACGGAGGATTGACGGTGCCCAGGGTCATCTACAGCCCCCACGGCCATCACTCTCAATGAGCCCAGGGTAACTGTCAGTGTCTCAGGTAGGCCTATTTCATTTTTACTTGATACGGGGGCTACCTATTCGGCCTTACCACAGTACTCAGGCCCTCCACGTCCCTCCACGGTAACTATTGTGGGAGTTCAGGGAATACACTCAAGCCCACTAAGTACACCACCCCTAGCTTGTTCTCTGCTGGGCAGTACATTTTCACATAGTTTCTTGGTTATTCCTAGCTGCCCTACCCCCATCTTGGGGAGAGATATTTTAACTAAATTTAGGGCTTCACTTACCCTTCACTCAGCCAATTCAGACCCTACCAGTATTCTGCTGCTCCTGGCTGCCCCCCTGACAGATTCAACTCTTAATCTAACTTCACCCTCTCCTAGGGAGCTTTATATTAACCCCTCAGTCTGGGACACCTCCACCCCTTCTGTGGCTAAACATCACCCTCCCATTCAGATCTCTCTCAAAGATATCACTCAATTTCCAAATGTTCCCCAATACCCTTTAGCCTTAAAACATTTAAAAGGATTAAAGTCTGTAATTACCAGTCTACTCAACAAGGGACTTCTCAGACCAACTCACTCCCCCAACAACACTCCTATCCTTCTAGTTTTAAAAATAAATCGTTCCTACAGGATGCTGATCTTAACATTGCTCAGAAGAGATTCAAATGGCCAGTAAGTACATGAAAATATATTCAACATAGTGGTCATTAGAGAAATTTAAATTAAAACAATATTAAGACTCTATATTACTCCAGAAGGAATGCATTGTCTAAGCCTTTGCTCTCCTAATTTGTGAAAACAGTGCTTCCTCATCCAGTTCCTGGACATTCCTGTTGAGGTTTGCAGATCCTTCTTCCTGTAGTGAGAATGTGTGTGACTTTGCTGTGTTCTTTTCTTTTCTGAAAGAAAACAGCACTTGTGTTCATGTGGATACCTGTTAGTGACTTTCTCAGTTCCATCTGTCATTATCTATCTCTCTGCCAATCTTTTCCTATTCTCACCTTTTTATTTTTTTAGTTATTGATTTTTATCAATTGAATGGAACATTTATCATGGTGCTTCATACATGTACATAAAACACCTTAATTCTTTTTTTATTTGCTTCCCTCCCACATCCCTCCATCTCCAATTTCCCTTTCTTTACTTTTTTTTTGATACAAGGGATCAAACTCAGGATTTTGCTCTTGCGAGGCAGGCGGTGAAACCACTGAGCTATATCCCTGGCCCTTAACTTTTGCAAAATATTTGTTTCTTATTATTTGTCTTTTATTTTGCCTTTTAATTTATTTATATATTTGGTTTTTTATATAAAGTAAACCATGCAGCATTTAAGCTTTTGTGTCTGATTTATTTCAATTACAGAATGGGAAAAGTTTTGCAAGCTATTCCTTAGTCAGCGAACTCATATCAATAATATACTAAATAGAGAAATGAAAAAATTAGAGCCTCTCAAAATAAAAATGGGCAATTGAAATGATACGGAAAAGTTTTAGATAACTCAATAGATTGAACATTAAGGTAGTTGTAGAAGCAAAATAAGTAACGTGTTCTTTTAAGATTTGCTTTTCCCATAACTCCTTGTTTAAACTGACAGTTATCTGACTCTAACAGGTAACTTCATTAACCTAACAAAGTTACCATGCCAGAGTGAATTTACAATGTATATGGCCTCTCTCATGTCTGAGACTTGTAAATAGGAACTGGAATTGTATTTACGTATCAAAGACCACTAGGGATGAGATAATGGCTAAAAAAGGATATAAAAAGGGAAACGCTGAACAAAGGGCCCGCGGATACTGACCAGATCGGTTTCTGGCATTCCCGCCCACTCGCGAGAAGAAATTTTATTATTTTATCCGAATTCTGTGTCTCCGTGTATTTCTTTCCGAGATTTCTGCAACAGAAGTTAATAGACACTTCTCATAGACAGAAGTAGAAATGCCCTAGCATTGCCTGGATTTGAGACACTCTCTCACAGTGATTTCTCCATGGTGAATTAACTAGAACTGTCTTAGCAGACTGGTGACCCCATTCGGAAAAGCAACACACAAAGATCTCACTGAGTCCAGTAAGAAGACTGGAGTAGCCAGGCATGGTGGTGTATCACTGTAAACCTCTCACTGGGTGTCAGGTCTCGAACCTAGGCAGAACAGGAAAACATCTCACAGCACCTTTGCCCCAAGCTCTTCACACCTACCAGAAATGTACAATAGGAAGCCAAAACATGAGTTGGAGAGGAACATGTGCCCACTGCACCCAGCAATGCCTGCAAGCTGGATGCCCAGCAACCACGAGAGACATCCTGCACCCCAACAGATCAGCCCCAGGTCTCAAAATTTTCTGCTCTCCCTGAGAACTCCCACCTCTCCTACCCAACTCTCCCTACAAAAGTTTCCTTTCGCCTCACCCTTGGGGCCAGTGGTCCTCTCGCCTTTGGCCCGCTTACACCTACCCTCAAAGTGAACTCTGCTTGTGGCTTCAACTTCGTCTGACTCAGTGGTCTAGTTTGCTCCTCAGTTTACCCTAGCACTGGGAGACTGGAGCAGGAGGTTCACAGCCAGCTCTAGAGCAGCCTGAGCTATGTAGTGAGTTCAAGAACAAACTAAATTACATAGCAAGACTCTCTTAAAAACAAAAAGAGAGAAGCAGCTCTGCAAAGCCAGGAGTAAACTCTTCCGAAATGTGGGCTGTTGTAAAGAATCCACTTGTCAACAAAAGGCAGGCTCTCCGTTGTGAGAAAAAGAAAAGTTTATTTGAGTGAACAGGGACAGGGACTAAGGTCAGGGGATTCTAAGGGCTAGCAGGGGGAGGGAGAGATAGTGGTGGCTAGCTGGGAGTGATTTCATCCCTGAGAGGATGGGCTAACACCAGGGGAGAGAGATATTAGCAATTAACTGGGAAAAGAATTAGTCTTATATAGGTATTGAAGGGGCTAAGGAATCTGGGGTGACATAGTTATGGCTTAGCTGCCCAAGGATGGTCTGGACAGATATGTATACAATTACTGCACTTTTGGGCTCCAGGGGGTTGTAAGCCATATTTTTTAGTCCATTTATCTCACTGACTGGGCAGCTGCTGGTATTTGTTAAAAGCAGCCTATTTATTTTCCCTGTTAATTTAGGGCAGGCCTGACACAGGCTAGGACAGGTCAGCATCCTGGGAGACAAACAGGTCACGAAGTGTCCGGGTTACACAATCTCCCATCTGAGTCGCACTCACACTGGTAAGGATTGGCTTCTGTCGTCAATCTTAGCTCAGAGGGCGGGCAATGGAGCAGGAGCCAATCAGAGTTGAGGGGCGGGCTGTATGAATTATCCAATCAGGTGGCCTGGGAGGTGGGTTCTGTTTCCTGGCGCCAAAGCCCAGATCCTGAGCACAGTGCTGAGAGCCGCCCCAGCTGGCTAGGCTGTCCTGCTTTAGGATTTCTACTGGCTGCAGGCTGCGGGAAGCACCCGGGGAGACCCTCCAGCGACAATGGTGAGTTTGTGAGACGAGTGCCCTGACTCAGGACGGGACGGGAGGGGGCGAGGCCTGGGCGGAAGCCGTGGGAACAGCAATGGCGCCGGCGCCTCCGCGCTGCTGCGATCAGAGCTCCTCCTGGTCTCCGCGCCATGGATACTCTCTCCTTCCCGCCGTGCCTCAGGCAGGTCTACCCTGTGTGCCCAGCACCCCGTCTGTCCACAGCCACCCCGCCAGCCTGGAGTGCACTGTTGGGCAACGCAGCTGCGTCTCTACCTGTGCGCGAAGAGTGGAAATTGTGGGGAGACCCTGCTTCCAGTGGGGAGTTAGCCTGGGGGACCTGTGCTGTGCTGGTTCCCTAGTCTCATTCGTCCCTCCGGCTGACCTGCAGGACCTCAGTTTTATAAATGTCTGTGATATAGGGTCTCAGCCACACCTTATTTCCTCAGACCACGGTCCTCTGTGATGATAGTAAATTGCCAAAATTCCAATATATGCCCCCATTGCCACACTCAGAATCAGTGAATATTAATGCCATGAGAATTAAAAGAAGGGATGGCCAGGCGTGCTGGTCACACCTGTTAATCCCAGCACTCCAAAGACTGACGCAAGAAGTTCGTTGTGAGTTGGAGTCCACCCTGGGCTACCAAAGACCAGCCTAAACTACTTAGACCCTGAGTCAAAGAACAACAACATGACCCCCCCACAAAAAAGCCCCAAAGGAAGAAGACTTAGTAAAATTTAGATAAATATGTCTTACTTTACTATTGATCAGGTAACCTAATCAGTTTTCTTGAGACAAAGTGCTTCTATGTAGTTCAGGCTGGCCTTGAACTTACTGTGTAGGTCAAGTTTGCCTCCAACGTGTCTATCCTGACACTGCTTCCTGAGTATTGAATCAATACTCCAAGTATTGAATCAAAACCCAAGACACGTGAGCACCTGCTAATGAAAAGCAGTAAACAGCCACTTGGGCTATAGCATTTTCAACTCCACTCTGAGATGAAGATTCCAATTACAATCGAGACTTAAATTCTCTCAATTTTGTCCCAACGAAAGTTCCTGAGTCCAGTATTTACAATATTACAGCGCTTGCAAATCAGTGTCTACAACTCATCTTTTTCTGCTGTGTCCTCCTCACCAGTGTGTCTCAGTACCCTTGTCCCTAATTGTTTTGATGTAAACCTGAAAATTAGGAAACCATTTGACTTGCCTGGCTTAAAAATTAGATAGCATCCTCTAAGTATGCTAAAAAGGGATTTCTCTCGGGTATAATAGATTTGAGATCTGGTTGATATTTCTATTGTACAAAAAATTGAACTTGGGCCTTTTTCTCTGAACTACATTCTCCACCTTTTAATATTTTTAAAATTTTGAGAGCAGATCTCACTATGTGGCCCAGGCTGCAGCAAACTTCATCCTGTTTTCTCAGCCTCCTGGAGTGCTGAGGTGACAGGCATATGACACCTTAATCACCACTATTATCCAGGATCACTGTGCTTGGTTAAATGAACTTCAGTGGGGCATGGTGCTGCCCAGCCTTCATCTCAGCCGCTTGGGGCACTGAGGCAGGATTATTGCAATAGCAAGTCCAGGCTGGACAATGGAGCAAGACCTAGATCAACATAAAATCACTGGGGCTGTGTCTCTAATCTAAAGTAACTTGTTAACATGTGCAAGACCCTGAATTCAGTCCAGCACTGAAGCATAAAGGAAAAAGTGATAAGTACTCAATGGAAAATTTACTTTTATTTTGAATTATATGCTGTTTGCACATTAGTGGTCTCTGCTATAATACTTGCTCGAGATGCCGGGCAATAGCAGAGTCCCTGTCAGCGACAGGACACCAAGTGAAAACATCCAGTGATTTACAGTGCAGCACATTCAATAAATTACGTGAGATATTTAGTATTTTATTATGAAATAAGCTATGTGTTACATACATTTTCTCAAATACAGGACAATATAAGTGTGTTTATCAGTTTTAAGAAGGCAAGGCTTAAAAATGTTTGCTAAATTATGTATATTCGGTGCATTTCCCATACATTATATTTTGAACAGCCTGTGGGTTGATCAAGATAGTTTCCTTTGGTAACTCAGGCAGAATGTGTATGTAGACTCATTCCTTCAACTCTTTGTACAGTGCATCTTTGTAGAATATGAAACTTATCAGGCAGTGTACTGTGTTGAGTGTTGTATTAATCACATTCTCCCCAGCAACTGAACTGGGATACAGTGCAAGTAGTTTTTTGATTAAAAAAAAAATAGCAGTGCTGTGGCTTTTGTTTCCTGGTTTTGGTTTGATTTGGTTATTTATTGTTTTAGTGTTATAGAGAGGTGCACCACACTGGTCATACTGTCTGACTTGTTTCACGAGGACAATGGAATAGGTTAGAAATTGTCAGTTGTCAGACACAGGGCTGAGCAGTTTGACCACAAGACACCAAGCATGGACAATGATAAAGAGAAAACACTTCCGTTTCTACTTCTATTTTATGCTGATTATGCGAACAATTCTTTTTATTTTTTTGGTACCGGGAATTGAACTCTGGACCTTGCAACTATGAGGCGGGCAGTAGAACCACTGAGCTAACAGGCCCAGTGGGAATAATTCTTACTGCCTCCATTTTGGAGAAAGTATATGGCTTTCTACTCTACTATCTTCTCTTTTCTGACTACCTCTTCCTTTTTTTAATGGCCTGAACTCATGTCTGCCTAGAACTGTCACCTTCCAAACTCAATGGGGCACCTTCCAGGCTTTTTTCCTTTGAAGTGATTTTTATCACTCCAGGGTAAGAGATGACCATGGGCATTTCTTCTGTGTTGCATATGGGGCTGGAGTCTGCAGGCCATGAAATTCCCCCTGAGTTTTGCTGAATTCCCCACGCTCTGTGGGCAACTCTCTCCTGTTGGCATCCTGGAGAAGCCTGAGGGAATGGCCTTCCCACAGCTGAGATAAAGCACAGCTTCAGTTCACTCACCCCCATGCTCTGGCCTCTACACCCCCAGTGTATGTCATCATAGCACAGCAAGCTGTGGAGACCTTTGTGGGTTTTTGCTCCAGTAGAATCTGAAAGGTAGTGGGTCAGGGGGAGAAGAGGAAAAAGCTCCTGGCATGGTGGCACCTGCCTGTAATCCGAGCACTCAGGAGGCTGAATCAAAAGGATTGTCATGAGTTTCAGCCAGTTTTTCAGTTTTTCAGCCTGGGCTACTTAGCGAGACCCTGTCTTTAAAAAAAAAAGGAGAAAACGTGTTCAAGTACAGATTGAGATTTTTGTGTCACTGAGCTTGTATTTGTAATGCAGTTAAAGTTAGAAAAATGTCATCTTGTGGGGTCTTTTTCATCTCACAAGGGTGCCATATCATCCAGGAGTTTATGTGTCCACTACAGCTGCTAAGTGAGTGGTTTTCAGTCACTGGTGATTCCATACTTGAGAAAACATGTGTATGGAACATAACACCTCATTTGCCTTTTCCACAATTGTTGGGAAAGCAGGCTTTTCAAGTTCTATTGGTGATATAAATGCACTGGAAGCATTCTCTTTCTTGTTGACCTCAAAACAGATTAGAGGAAATGCCACTGATGCTCAGAAGCACGCTTGCTAGTGCACAGTGTGTGTAGCAATTTAAAATCTAATACACACCATCCACACTACCACCACCAGTAGCAGAATGGTCCATCTGTTAACTTCTTTTAAGGCTGACATTAGAAGTTTATGCAAAAATTGATAAAAGTCCAACCTTCTAATAAAATGTGTTCTTAAAAATATACTTTCTTCCTTACAGTGTTCATGATCCACATCATAAGTACCTTCTTGCACTTTTGCTTCTATTAATAGCAAATCATTTTTTTAACTTGTAAGTCAAAAACCCCATCCTTAAACAAGCCTAAATTAAAGACTATTTCTCTGTAGTTATTATGTGTATACAGACCTTGATAAAAAACAATTCTAGAGCTATTCCTTTATACTATATTTTCTGATTGGGAATCCTTTGGATATACTGTATTCATGTAGTTTTACTGAATATTAAAACTATGAGGAGTGTAATATTTTTTAGTTGGTCTCTGAAAAGACATCTTGTCATTGTTCTAAGATGTTACATCTTGATAACTTCATCTGTGGATAATGATTTTGCCTCTTCCATTTCAATCCTTATGTCACTTATTTCTCTTCCTTGCATTATAACATGACACATGAATTTTGGTCTCGTGTGACAGAAGAGTAGAGATAGTGAATGTTCTTGACTCATTTCTGATCCTAAAATAATTCATGTAGAGTTTCTTCATTTAGAGTCCCATATGTTAGTTTTGGTATATCTGCTGAATCTGGTTGTTAATCCATTTTGGCTTTTTATTAGAGACCTTTAATAAAGAATAAATAGAAATATTTAGAAAACATGTTTATGCCAAGATTCAAATAATCACATGAGGTTTTTCTTTTTTGATTTATATTTTTGATCCTGAACTATTCTAATCTTTGATAAAATATACAAGCATCACTTAGTTATAATATTGTTGCTGTGTGAGGATGTATGTGTGTATGTGTTTTTGTGTGTTGGTGTGTATGTAGTACTTCATATTGCACCTAGGGCATCACATATGCTAGGGACCCATGCTACCACTTAGCTTTCTGCCAAGATGAGAAGCTATTTTCTAATCATCCTTGTAATTTACTATAATGTTTTATCCTGGCTTTGAAAATCTGCATTCATAGGCGTTACGCCCTTTTCTTGTAAACATGCTGCTTGGTGTCAAGTAAAAATTACACTAACTTGATGGAGTATTACACTACCTTTTTTTAGTATAATGGTTGCATTAGTATATATTTTATGTACTTAAGTATATTAAATATACATTCCATGGGGAATTGGTGTATATACATATGTTGGTCTATGTCTCAAAGTTTCATAGAAGCACCTGTAATCCCATTGGGAGATGAAGTTATGAAGAAATATTTTGTTTGCCCCTTGAGTTGCTTGCCAACTTGTTGGATGCCACACAAGGCCTCTCATTCATA